TCGTAAGTGAAATTCAGCAAACAGAATTGTTTGTCAGTGCTGGTGACAGCACGCCGACACAAGTCATCATGACCGAGGCTTTGAGTGCACTGGTCTTATTCAAACTCACGTCAGAGTACGTGCTTTGTACCTGAAACTGTAAATAAGGTCTGCTCAGTATAGTTGCATTATAAACCATAGGTGGGCTCTGCGGTTGTTGAATAAACACAAATGCGCATGAGCAGGTGTTGAATTACCCAAAATCCTTTTCGCATTCCACTTGTAAGAAGGATGTTCAAAAGCAGCCGCCATTTTCGGGAACAGACTTCCATATGGTGGAATTTCTTTTCTGAATACTACAATCATAACCTCTTCGATTCTAGGGTCAGCCATTATCTATCTTCTATCTCTTTATAATCTTCACTGCTTACTTCTTTCTCCTACGTCCATAACACACATTATTCAGTAAACCTGATTCATATCGGGTAACTCTGTCTTCTTAGACGCTCTCCGATTGAAGGTGATATCTTTTTAATCATTTCTTCACCAGAAAGGTAATAAAGCCATTAAGATTTAACCCATTACTGAGAGTGAAGGCATTGCATTTCTCAAATATCTAGATACAACTCTTAAGACACATTTTTTTCTACCTTATTCAGCGAACCTTCTCGACATCTGTCCAAGACTCTAACTTCACCAATCCAGCCCATGTACAAAGAGGTACTGCTTTTCAGCTCCTAGGAGACAATGCCTAAGTTTGTGTTATGGTGGAACACACCTATTCTATAGTTAATAGACTCTCCCACCTATAATAAGTAAGAGTAGTAAGAGTAATGAGTCAGTCAGTCAGTCGATGTCGGACGACAGTTAGTCGAATACGAAAATATCAGCTACCACAAATAGATTATTCTGCGTAATACCTATTATATGAAATTCCTAACATTTGTACGTCGAACCTATTTTAGGACCGACTTAGTACAAATACAAGCCTCCACTGTGAAATAAATCCACAACAGTTTGTTATAATTATTATCTTCTAGTATTTTCGGTGTTATTTGTTGCATTGCATTTCTGACCTCAAACAGAGGGTACATTCCGCGGAATATTTTCAGTAGGACGCAATTTAGACTTGAACAGTTTTCGTAACTTAAAGCAACACTCAAAGAACGATCTACAATTGTAAATTAGAGTACCCCACACCATGATTCCAAATGATGAACTAGTGTGAATCTAAAGCGAATGCTCTCTATAAAGTACCTCACTTCACTTACATTGCACAGACAGATGGCTAGCCCATGCATGAAGGCATAATTTATTCTTACTTGGCAAGGGACCCACGCACGTGCACAACGGTTTTTTGGAGATAATGAAAGGATGGTTAGAGGAGTAAGAGGGAAAAGATATCCTTTTTCTTTATGCACCATGTCTTCTAGTCAGTAATGGCTCTCCACAACTTCCTATCCGTTGTAGCTCGTAATAATTTTTTTTTTGTTATTTCTCTAAAACCCTGTCCCATAATCCATTTACTCAAGCTCGTTGTTTTCCTCTGTCCCTCTTGCCTTCAATCTGCCCTGTGAGTGTCAGATTTTCCAAGCCCTCTTTATCGGTGACTAAAGTAAGCTTTCCTGGTGGGGAGGTTGGCTAGCCGTCGATTGCTTAATTGATTCGCTGATTTGTTTTCTACGGTTTATCAGCCCCTTGCAGGTTATTTAAAGCCAGAAATAGATCTTGTGGGGCGCATCACTCCCCAGATCAAACAACTTGATGGAAAGTCTCGGTCATTAACTCAATTGTGGGAAACCTCCGCTCTAGCTTTTTGACTTCAGTCGAAGAAGCCCTCTACCCATCGATGACGTGTCATCAACGCACTGATTGTATACAGAGCTATGGAGCGCCAGTCTTAGAACACTTGGCATTCCCAAGCGATTAACCATCTATATATATTTCCATGATAATTGTTCTGAGATTTCCTCTTTGGTTCCTCGATTTTACGAATTAAAGGGTAGAACTAGATTGGCAGTTAGGTCTCATTATTTTACAGTTGAAATGGCTAGATTTAACTATAGTGACCAGGTTCGACGTTGCTTAACTTCGATGAACGCACGGGAACAGGTGTTTCAACCTGTTATGGCTGTGAAACCTTTTTTTTTTTTTCAGCATGCAGGAAAACGGTTGGAAAAGGTCGGTAAGAAATGTCAATCGATAACAAAACATCTCTCTTTCGACACAGGTCGCCTACTTCCTGTTGATTATTTGAATAAAGAAAATGGGTAAGAGGAGAAAAGGAGAACGTGATAAAATGAGAGAAAGAGAAACAAAATAGACATAAAGATAGAAAAAAAGAAAAAAAAAAAAAGAAAGACAAAGACAGTGTGCTGTTATCATCTACTGACCTTCATTTCTCTTCCTCTAATTATGAAGTTAACATGAACGACTTTTTCTCGATGATATCAAAATGGTAAATTTTCTTTCCTTGCTTAGTTTCTCATTACTCGGCAATCTTTAATCCTAGTGCTCGAAAAAACAGATTTGCCAAAAGAAAGTTTTTCTCTTATTATTTTAATTACGTTTACTCCTCAGAAATATTTATTAAAAAGCGATTATTAGAATTGTAATAAAACCTTAACATGATGAAAGAGAATTTATATACAGGGTGTGCATAAAGTTCGTGCGAAATTTAAAAATTTATAACTTTATTTGTATTTGCGATAGAAATAATTTGTAAAAAATGTTATAAAGTTTAATATACCTAGTTTTAAGTATAGCTAAAATAACTAATGTGATTTCAGGCATTACTGTAAATCAGTTGGCAAATGTTTTCCGTGAACTGCAAAATCGTATTACCCTTTGTATTGCTAATGATAGAGGACATATGGAAACTTCAATAAAATTTCAATAAAACCTTAAAAAATATAGATTTACTTCTTTCTAATCCTTTTTACAAATTATTTCTATCGCAAATACAAATAAAGTTATAAATTTTTTAAAGTGCACACGAAATATATGGACACCCTGTATATTTTTGGTATTGAGAATTTGCAAGAAAAAATATTAAATACTGATTAATTAAATTGTTTATTTACAAGAATAATTTTATATTTACAATATTCTAAAAACTAATAGAATTAAAACTAGTTCAATGCAATGTTTATCAGTTACTAATTTATAAAGAAATATGAAAACATTTTTATTCATAAAATTATAAACATTTACTAAATTATTAAAATATGTGGATAAATATATAAGGAAATCCTTATTATTTACCATTTTATAATGGAACCAATTAGCAATAAGCCGGTATTTTGCCAACAACGACAATAAACTTTAAATAATAAATATTTTAATTTGTTGTCATAGAACAGACGGGTTCATGCCTTTCTGAGAACATTAGACAAAAGTGAACACATCTTCGACCGGGATTTGAATACAGCATTTTGGGTCTCAATAATCGTTACAACAATAGAACATTTAATCAATTTTTTAATCAATTCACCAAGCAAGGTGATAAAGCCACTAAGATGCAAGGGGGCTACTGAGCGTGAAAGGGAATGAAAATAACTTTAGAAGGAACCAAGCGATAAACCTCTACCCTTGTTCAAATTATAATGTGATGGCTGGCCGCTCATATCCGATGATACCTGTCAACTAGGGCAGCAACCAATCCCTGTTGCAGACGCCTGCTCAGGCACATTTGTGTTTGTTCAATACCCATATAACTCACCTGTCATTTATACTAGAGCTATGATGAGCGGACCTTAGGTACAGTTGCTAGGAGAGAACATATCTGGCGTGATTTGGGATTTCTTAAATATTTAGATGCGGCTCTTAAAACACTTTGTCTACGTCTTCCTGATATCTGTCCAAGACAATTCTACCACGAATCCAGGTCATGGACAGAGAAGCAGAGCTATTCAGCTCCTAAGGGACAATGCGCAATTATCTTTGTGAATATGGGGTGGGGGGTTCTGTTGAGTCAACACATGAGTTGGTTTTCAGTCGCTTTTCCCCAGGCCGGTAACATCACAATGTCACCTTATGAGATTCGAACTCGGGTGCAAATATCTGAAAACTGACGTTCTAACCAAACGGCCACGCGCCCATTCTAATAATGATAATAATAATGTTACAAACACAAGGACACACACATTTTACACACACACACACACACACACACACACACACATATATATATATATATATATATATATATATATATATATATATATATATATATATATATATATATAGAGAGAGAGAGAGAGAGAGAGAGAGAGAGAGAAAGAAAAGAAAAAAAATGAGAGAAAGTTATAAGAAAATTCCAATGTTAGAAAGTAAAATAAAGAATAAAACGCCTAAAACCCACTATTGATCCGAGCAGGGTCCAATAGTCCGCAAATCTCACGCGCCGTCTGTGATTGTTCGTGGATAAAGGCGAGAATAGGAAGTCTCCACCCCACGTTACTCACTGTTAAGTCACGTCCGAACGAGATGACGGCGAGATAGGGAAAAAATATCATAAGCGATACAATTAAAAAAAAAGGGTAGGAAAACGTAAAAGAAATATTTTCTTTTTAATAATTTTGCAGGAAGAAATTAAGGAAAAAAATATCCCAAGAAATGTGAAGCATTCTTTACGCTCTTAATCCATGAGAAAAGAAATATAATACGAAGAATCTGAGGGATTTGACAGGAGTTGTGTCACATACACACACTCCTACATTTCGCTTCCATTTTATCGTCTGCATCATTCTGGTTTAACCCTTTTTTTATTCGGATGAATGACGTGAGGAACCATATTGACGTGCAGGAAAGGTAAAAAGAGACAGACATAAAACTGGAATAATGGGAGTATAAGAAGGATATATTGAGTAAGTGTTAATTAGAGAAAAGGGGAAAAGAAAACACAGTGAAAAAATATTGTGGGATAGGAGTGTTTAAAATGAATTATGAATGTCCTGAGCAAGGTTGCAAAACAGTCTGAAAATTAGAAATAAGATGTGGAAAGGAGAGCAGAACAAAACTTATGGTGGCATATGATTGGAAAAGAAAGAATGAAATGAAATAGAATGAGAAAGAAAGAAAGAAAGAAAGAAAGAAAGAAAGAAAGAAAGAAAGAAAGAAAGAAAAATACGACATGAAAGAAAGAAAGAAAGAAAGAAGGAAAATACGACATGAAAGAAAGAAAGAAAAATAAGACATGAAAGAAAGAAAGAAAGAAAGAAAAATACGACATGAAAGAAAGAAAGAAAGAAAGAAAGAAAGAAAGAAAGAAGGAAAATACGACATGAAAGAAAGAAAGAAAGAAAGAAAGAAGGAAAATACGACATGAAAGAAAGAAAGAAAGAAAGAAAGAAAGAAAGAAAAATACGACATGAAAGAAAGAAAGAAAGAAGGAAAATACGACATGAAAGAAAGAAAGAAAGAAAGAAAGAAAAATACGACATGAAAGAAAGAAAGAAAGAAAGAAGGAAAATACGACATGAAAGAAAGAAAGAAAGAAAGAAAAATACGACATGAAAGAAAGAAAGAAAGAAGGAAAATACGACATGAAAGAAGAAAAGAAAGAAAGAAAAAAAAACATGAATGAAAAAGAAAGAAAGAAAGAAGGAAAATACGACATGAAAGAAAGAAAGAAAGAAAGAAAAATACGACATGAAAGAAAGAAAGAAAGAAAGAAGGAAAATAGGACATGAAAGAAAGAAAGAAAAATAAGACATGAAAGAAAGAAAGAAAGAAAGAAAGAAAAATACGACATGAAAGAAAGAAAGAAAGAAAGAAGGAAAATACGACATGAAAGAAAGAAAGAAAGAAGGAAAATACGACATGAAAGAAAGAAAGAAAAATAAGACATGAAAGAAAGAAAGAAAGAAAGAAAGAAAGAAAGAAAAATACGACATGAAAAAAAGAAAGAATGAAAGAAGGAAAATAGGACATGAAAGAAAGAAAGAAAGAAAGAAAGAAAGAAAGAAAAATACGACATCAAAGAAAAAAGAAAGAAAATAGTTTAAGAAAGGAGGGAAGAATGAATGATTCGAAAATGAAAATAGGATAAGAAAAAAGAAAGAAAGAAAGAAAAATACGACGTGAAAGAAAGAAATAAATAGAAAATATTGCACGAAGAAAGAAAGAAAGAAAGAAAGAAAGAAAGAAAGAAAGAAGGAAAATACGACATGAAAGAAAGAATGAAAGAAAGATGAATAAAACACGTAAGAAAGAAAAAAAGAAAGAAAAAAAGAAAAAAGACATGAAAGAAAGAAAGAAAGAAAGAAAGAAAGAAAGAAAGAAAAATATGGAAAGAAAGAAAGAAAATAGTTCAAGATAGGAGGGAAGAATGAATGATTCGAGAATGAAAATAGGATAAGAAAAAAGAAAGAAAGAAAGAAAAATACGACATAAAAGAAAGAAAGAGAAAATAGGATTTGAAAGAAAGATCTGCAAGCATAAGAAAGAATAGGTTAAGAAAGAAGGAAAGAATAAATGATGCAAGAATGAATAAAGATAGGATAAGAAAGAAAGAAAAGCCGGAAGAAAATGAAATAAGAAAGAAAGACAGAAAGAAAGAAAATGGGATAAAAAGAACGAAAGAAAAAGAAAAACTGAAAATGAAGAAAGTAAGAAAGAAAAAGAAAGAAGAATGAATGAATGATTAAAGAATCAAAAAAGAAAGAAATAAAAAAGATCTGAAAGAAAAAAAGAAAGAATAGGATAAGAAAATGAAAAGAATGAATGACGTGAGAATGAATTAAAATCTGATAAGAAAGAAAGAAAAAGAAAATACTGTAAGAAGAAAGAAAGAAAAAAGAAAGAAGGAAAGAAAGAAAAAAAGAAAAGGTTGCAATAAGAAAGAAAGAAATAAGAAACAGAGGCAATGATAATGAAAACAGAATCGAAAGAAACAAACAAGCAAACAATTACTATTTTCTATATGCCGTGTTCCTTCCAGACCATTACCGGTCATGGCTCTCCACAACTTCATAGCCTTTGTAGCTCTCACGTTTTGCTCTTTCACGCACTCGCTGATATGACATCCATTTTCGCAAGCTCGTTAAGTTAATCGTCGTTTCTCCCTGTCCATATGGACTTCAATATGTCATAGGAGTTTTAAATTCTCCAAGCCGTCTTTCCTCATTGTGACCCAGAAATTTCAACTGTTTCTTTCTGATTTTAATCATAAACATCCATTTTGTTTCTGATTTCCCTAAAACTTCCTCGTTATTCACATATTCAGTCGATAATATTCTCAGCATCCTTCTGTAGAATTAGATCTCTATTGACTACAATCTCCTCTTTATCTGTGAGATTTTCCAGCATCCACTGCCATATGGAAGCACCGATATGACACAACAGGTCAGCTCTTTTTGATTTGCCTCGAACAAAATTGCCCAATTTCTTAATACTTTGTTTGGATTTCTGTATCAGTTTTCTTTAAAGCTTTCTCACGTGTTCAGTCCATGGTATTCTCAGCATCCTTCTGTATAACCACATCTTCTTTGCTACAAGTCTCTTCGATGAGCATAATTATCATTGTGAAAATTTTCACATGACAAGCTAGTTTCTATGCATCAAATAATTTTTATCATTAGGTTAAGGAATTATTGATGCGCTTACATATATATATATATATATATATATATATATATATATATATATATATATATATATATATATCAGGTCATCCCATAAGTTCTGTCCGAATTTTGAATAAAGAAAACAAGTGACCAGATGTTACATTTAATTACAGATTAAATCAAAAATGTATTTTCCCTGATTATCTATAATTTCCTTCCATCTATTAACAAGCTTACTAATTCCATTACTGTAAAATTCTTTTGGCTTTGATTCGAAGAACTCACAGATGTCAGTTTTAACCTCTTCCTGTGTTACAAAAGCTGTTTCTTCCAAATGATTCTGTAATCTACGAAACAAATGGTAGTCTGAAGGAGCAAGATCGCGAGAATAAGGTGGATGAGGAATTTTCAGCCAACCAAGTTCTTCGATCTTTTGTGACGTGATTCTTGCTGTGTGGGGTCGCGCATTGTCCTGATGAAACATCACCTCTTTTCGATTCACTAGAGCAGGTCTTTTTTTCCCCAAAGCTTGGTTCAAATGCTCTAATTGCTGACAGTGTATTTGAGCAGTAATTGTTGCATTAGGTGGTAAGAATTCAAAGTGGATTATTCCTTGGCGATCCCACCAGATTGAAAGAAGAACATTTTGCACATGAAGTTCCCTTCTCGGCTGTGGCTGGGGTCCTTCCCCTTTAGCAAGCCACTGTTTACGACGCTTAACATTTTGATAAAAGATCCATTTTTCGTCGCCAGTCACAAGACTATCCAAAAAAGGTGAAACAAGTTGGCGAGAATGGAGAGAAGAGCAGATGTCAACTCGGGATTTGAGGTTGTTTTCAGACAATACATGAGGCACCCATTTTCCAAGTTTAGGAACTTTTCCAAGTTGTTGAAGATGACGATGAACAGTTGAATGGTTTGATCTGAGAACCACTGCCAATTCCTCAACTGATAAAGTAGGATTTTCTTCAAGGGCTGCTTCAAGAAGCTTTTCATCAAACTCAACTGGACGTCCGGTTCGATCTTCATCTTCATGGGTGAAATCTCCACCTCTGAATTTTGCAAACCATCTTCTGCAAGTTCTTTCATTCACACATTCCTCTCCATAAATTGAGTGAATGTCTCTATCCGCTTTGGCTGCTGAGTTTCCTTTCTTGAACTCATAAAGCATTATGTGCCTCAAATGATTGTTGGGTGCTTCCATGTTAACAGGGTTTTAAATAAACAAAATTTAATTTTATTGTTCTCTGAAATAAAATTTGATCAGTTTAAATGCATCTAAACATAAAAATAATGTTCAGCTCCATTAGACATTATAAAATACTCTTTAAATTTCGTTCATTTTAACAAAAAAATAAAATTCGGACAGAACTTATGGGATGACCTGATATATATATATATATATATATATATATATATATATATATATATATATTCTTAAATGTCTATAATTGGTAACAGAAGCCAATGGTTTGTACCAACGGCTTTCCATACTTCATTCTCCAATTCACTCTCGTGTGGTCATGTGTGACGTCATGAGATGCGGTGCGATTTTCGCTTCTAGAGTCTTATATGCATGTGTTTATCGTTGCTTAGAAATCATCTATGTAAGCATTGATAGACTATCATCACTGTCTTGTATGTATATTGCTTAATATGTTGTAATTGACATCTTTGATAATGGCTTAAGTAAGCCGAAAGCTTGGATTGGATTAAAAAAATATGGATCAATATTGTGAATTTCTTTCTTCGTTCAACGATAATGTTATTAAATCTATCAGATGTTACGAAAAAAATTTACATAAAATAAATAGACAACACTTGTCTATATTATTTAATGAAACGTTTATGAATATATATATATATATATATATATATATATATATATATATATACATGTAATATATATTATAAATTAATTGATTTAAAATATGGTTATTTTCGCTACACAGTTCCAACCATGTTTCAAAAATAGAAGCTAAAAACCCCTAATTTTATTTTTGCAAATATCTATAAGAACACCGGATTTTATATCTTACTGTTCTTTCTTTTTATTTATATATATATATATATATATATATATATACATGCCACAGCATTTTTTAAACTAGTTCAAGCAAGAGTGTAAAGCCATTGAGACGCAAATGGTTACTAAACATGGAAGTGTCAGAATTAAGAACATTGCTTAGGAGAAAGTACAGAGGAAATTGTAACCAAGAGGACAGCAGATAACGATTGTCATTGCATTTAAATTCTTGAGGATTAAAGTTGGCTGGAAAGCATGGGCCCGAAAGGGAGTTCCACAAGCGAGAAGTGCGAGAGAAGAAACTGTTAGCATAGAACCTACGGTAACATCTAGTCAACTCAACTGTAAATTGGTGAGAACTGTCGCCACTCTAATACTGCGCTTAAATTCGAAGAGCTAGGTACAAAAATACAAATTGAGACACAAGGCCAAGAAGGGAAATGGAGAAAGGAACGATCTTCATCTGTCTTAACATTAAACTTAACTAACCACAAACACTGACATTGTAGCTAACAATAAGTTGATTTTTTAACAGTTATTTAACTCGATAATTGAGTTCACCGATATAGTGAAAAGCCGCGTAAATAGCGAAAAATAGCGATTTTTACTGGTTTCTTTCTTATTTTTCGTTGATCTTTCAACCAATTTTCATCAAACTTAACAAGTGCTTTATAAATGTATCCTCTTTTACATGCCTGGTAGCACAAAATGAATTTCAAAAATTTAAAAATAACTGTGGTTTGAAATGGGTCTTCATGTTGCCTGTTCTCCACTTCATGTCCTCGGCTAACTTCGATTGAATAAATACAGACTACTTCTGTTATATCAGTAACTGCAAAAATGTTTTTTAAAAAGTACTATAAAGAAATTGAAGAAGATAGACTCCGTTACATCTAAACATGATGCAGTTTGCCAAGGACACATGGCAAAGTGGATAAAGGCGTCGGTTAGATCCAGTGACAAGACCCAAAGAGTGTGAGTTCAATACCCGGTTAAGGCAGTGGAGAACTTTCAGAGAGAAAATTAACAGGCGATAATTGATAGCTGACATCCATCACACATGGCACGTGGAACTAGAACAGCCTACCCCAGTGAGCGAAATAAAGGGTTAAGTTCGACATTCCCAACAACAAGAAGGCCGGAGCGTACAACGACCGAAACGTTGGGATAAATATGGCGACAAAGATGAGGACAATAGTCCGAGTAATGTAAATAATGGTGCAGTTTTTGCTCCATTCTAATTGAACATTTTTTTTGATCGACCAGCTGGGTATGACTGCTAATCAATAATAATAATAAAAAATCACCTACAATCTGTTATTAACTGGGACAAGTACTGGCTTGTTAATTTTAAATCTCCCAAAACTGTTCTCTTAATCGTCTGAGAGATTTGTATCTCGACCGTATCTGACAAGGTTTCCCATACTGGTCTTCTTCACATGTTGCAAGGTTAGGATATTTCTGGACAAACTTTTGAACTGATACCGAAATTAAATTCGTCTTGAACGGCACCTCTTCTTGATCTTACTGCATTAATTGACCTTTGATCTAAGTTGTTCCTAATCTTCATCACTGATCTTCTTAAAGGCATCAGTTCTTAACTCGTTATCTCAGTTGATGACACAACTATTAAATCCCGTCTTAATGCTAATCCTGATTAGTTCGACAAGGTCAAATTGGCAGCTGATCTCAAAAATGACTTACATTCTTTTGTTAACTGGGGTAAAGAACGTTATTTTTAATTTTAACACCTCTCAAACGAAACTGCTCTCTTAATCGTCTGAGGGAACACTTTCTACTTTCCATCGGTATGGCTGATGCTAACCTCCTGAAAAGTG